CACCACGGCTGGTGCTGAGGGGAACGGACCCCCTGCGCTGGGTGGGGGCCGGCCCAAACCGACGGCTGCAACGTACAGCTCGTCCCGTCACCAGAACACGCAGAGCGACTTCAGTCTTTCAAAGCCTTCGCGTGAAGAGGAGGTGGAAAATACAAAGAGGGGAGAACAAAAAAAGCTGGTGTGAATTTATCACTGACGTAATAGCAAATCAGGATGCAAATGAGAACTGGGAGTTTCTCAGAGAACAAGAGCTTTCAGAATTAGTCCTCAAAATGATTTATAAAACTTAAAAGAATTGCAAATCTGAGGCATCTGATAAAAAGTGAACAGCGATTTCAGAACAAATCCCATCTTTTTATTTTAAGAAAAGCCCACTGAGCTGAACAGCATCTACTAGCCAAAAAAATTACCTATTGCTTCACAAACTGGATCCCCATGGATTCAGGAACATACAACAGCAGCTTTACTTATTAAGCACGTCAAACTGAAAATAACTGGTGGAAAAGAAGAAAGGACAGGAAAGTGACAGAAAAGAAACACTATCACAAAAAAATAGATTGAGAGAACATTAGCTATTAACATACTGCAAATGAACCAATTACAATTATTCTCTGTTACACAAGCATCCTTCCTAACACAAGTGGCCAATTTATTTATTTTTAGGAAAATAGTCACTGCCAGTAGTACCACAATTCTTCTTAACAGAAGTATTAAATATGAAGCCCAATTCTCAAAAGCAATGAAACTAGGATGGTTTTATATGACGCTGTCCTTAATTCATTTCTTACTACCCTCAAGAGAAATATTCATCCCAATTTTTACCAACGTTTTCCGCTGATACACATCTTTCCCTCATGACAGGAGCTGAAAAGGAGAAAGTGTTCCAACTGGCTGTAGAGTTACAATCCAAGTTTAAGAGACACACTAAACTCTGCAAGGCTGCTTCTCTGAAGATGCGGGATTTCTTCTACTTCTTACTGTTTACTTTTTCTCTTTCATGGGGATTTAGACAAAATATAATCAGCTGAAGCCTCAGAACCCCTACACTGTCAGGTTTTCTGCTAAAATTGGCAGCTACAAACCCAGTCAGGACTGCAGTAGCTGCAGAACAAGCCCTTTGAAGTGAACATAGCTTAGATTCAAACTGCTGCGAAGAAAGGAAACAGCAGAGGATTCTTTTATTTTTTAAAGCTTTTACTCACAATATTCAGCTACTACTATGTGGACAGAAAGAAAGCCTCCTTTGGTTAATTAGTAGTTGTTCTTTGTAGGAGTCTCAGCCAAAGCCAAAGGAAACTTCAAAGGCCTCACTCATCAAATGTCACGGCTGGTGCTCAACATGAAACTGCCAGTTGTGATCTGCTTGCACAGCTATAGCTCACGCTGAACTTGGGAGTGGATCTGTATTACGAAGTAATTGCTAAGCAATTGTGCAACAAAAGAACAAACTTCTATTGAAAAGATTTGGCAAAGTCACAGCAGTGGGTTAGATGAAAACTGGAAGTGTCTGCCAGCAGTACGATCCCAATACATATTCATGCCTCACATGATGGCATCTTCTTTACCATTATCTTTGTAATTGGTGGTTTATCTCTTGTTTGTTTGGTTTTTAATGCCCTTATCTGCACATGTGACACTTGCAACTTTAAAACAAATCATATCTAATGCGGACTACTTAAGACTTCATCAGAGTTGAGGTCTATATTTTATTTTGTGGTTATGCTCTTAACACGGACATTCTGTAGCATTCTACTGCCACCAGTGTGTAAAAGGAAAAGGAAAAAGGTACCAAGCTAACATTGAGGGAAGAACAAAACAAAGATGAAATGATTCATAAAGGAATGAAGCCAAGAGACTACATCAAATATTAAACCAATAAAATCTCTGCAAATTATCTTTTCGGGGGAAAAAAAAAAAGTAACTGGAATGCAATAGAGAAAAAAAAGGAAGAGACTTTTAAAACAGTATTAAGCAGAAACAAGGTGCACCAGAGCAGCTCCCCTTGGGGACTCTATTCAAAGACCACATAATTTGTGAAGTATTGTCACTTCTTAACATCCTCAGAAATAGACGTGTGTACTGTTTATAATAGCCTTTAAATAAAACCAGAGTAACTAGTTCTTACAGAGTAGATTCTCCAATACTGTATTTTTAAAAAGCATTAATAATTTCACTTCAAGCTATAATTCTTAAATTTGTGGTAGTGAAACCACACACCTGAACCTCTGTTTCTCTGAGGTACTGACCTCAGAATTCGGTTTAAGGAATTGATTAAGCACTCCACATCACTATCTATACAGCTATACTATAATTTTCCAGCACTTTTCTACAAAGTCCATACTTTCTTCTCCATTAAAAAACACTCTCTATAAACTCTTCCAAAGTAGTAATGAAAAACTGAGAACTGAAGTATTTTTCTGGAAAAACTTATCTCAATATAGTCAATGAATAACTGTTTTACATGAGACCACTTAAAAATGGTCATACATGTTACACACATGAGGCAGTATTCCATAAGCTGCTGCTATGTGCTTCCACTCCTAGGCACGTATGTTCTCAGACTCTCTTCAAGCTAAAGGAGAACTATTTAGCTATTAAACCAGCATGTTCCCATCCCTTCCAATTTCACAGATTTAAGTTAACCAGAATTGCCATGATAATGTAATACAGCTTTCATTAAATATCAGAGCCTGTCACAAGGATAATATTTCTCTCTGTGCATATGCCCATTTCTCGACATTGCTTCCATGTGCCCAATTCAGTAGTGTGTCAGATACCTATGTGGGTTTCTAATTTGTGGACAATTAAAAGGAGAAATAGGTTTTGGACAACTTTACTGTTCTGAAGCAGGAAATGACTGGTTGGGATTTTCAGCTTTTATTTTTGAGTTAGTTTGGTGCCAATAGATGAGGTTTTTTAGGTAAGTTTTCATCATGGTTTTTGACTGGTAAAGTGTCTATTATTTGCCAAAAGCTTTTTTATTCTTCAGAGAAAAAACAAATCTAGTGCCACTAAATACTATTTTAAACTAAGGAGCCACAAAATTATTTTAAAATATATATGGTTAGTACTAACGCGCATGATATGGATAAAGATATAGCAAGAAAATACGAAATACACTAAACCACGTAGGATATTTTTAATTATGAGGACCAGAGTTACTGTTATCCTTAGAATAGACTAGACTATTTCAGTTCGAAGAGACCTACAACAAGCTAGTCCAACTGCCTGACCACTTCAGGGCTGTCCAAGTCAAAGCATGTATTTAAGGGCATTGTTAACACTGACAGGCTTGAGGCATCAACCACCTATCTAGGAAGTCTGTTCCAGACCACCCTCTTGGCAAAGAAACATTTCCTAATATCTAGTCTAAACCTCCCCTGACTACTGTAAAGTTAATAAAAATGCTATCCAATTAGTTCTTTGATTTGAGCAACAATAAACAACAAGGTAGACAGTAATTTACATAAATTTATGGGTTGAAAAATGTTTCATCCCTGGTATAGCAGATTCTTTCAATCCTTTTTTTTTTTCCTCTCCCAGAGGATAGTATCATGAAACATAAAAGATGCAACAGAAATGGAAGTACAATGCTAAATAAACTCTACAGTACAGCCACATCTTCCTTTACAAGTTCCCAATAGGTGGCAACAGAATACCAAAAATACTAAGTAGTTTATAATTCTTTCTTTGTCCGCAAAGTAATGGAAGCTCCATTACAACTTCTATCAATGAACACGCACCAGTAATTTTACTCAAATGAATTGCTGCATCTCAGAAACAGAAATTCTCAGGACAGTTAATGTCAAAAGTCAGAGAATTCACAGAACAGAAACAAAGCATTTATTAAAAATCTAGTTGTTATGAAATGACTAACTGATGGCTTATACTCTGAGCTTATCTGAGGGAGTAAACTATTACAAGCAGGAATTTACAGTAACAAAATGTTCTGCACATTAAAGAAGAAATGTTAAGGAAGAACGAAAATCTTAGACTAATTTTTTTTTTTTCTTGTTGACATCCACACCTTGGTCTTTAGCAATATTCACTTACAAGACTGAATATAAGAGTGAGCATTTTTAAACAAAGTTTTCAGCTGACAAACCCCAACTTTATCAGTAGTAGCAGGTCCATACTAACTCCCTGATTCTCTGTAGGAAATGACAGAAAATCAGAGTTCCTTCCTTGACAGTTATACAACTATTTTGTTTCTGTGGCACAGAGCTATACAAATCAAGCCTAAATAATGACTACTTACTTGCTCTCAAAACCAGCTAAGTCACTGTCCAAAGAAACTGTCTCTGTCGTAATCTCCACCTTTCTCACGCTGCCAAAGAAGTCTGTAATCAGAACATTTTGCGGGTCTCGCTGAAAGAGATCAGTTCGGTGCCCAGGCGTGGAAACACACAGACTTTTTGGACAGACCTGAAACTGGAAAACAAGATGGACAATCATATCCTGTCCCTCATTCATCAGTAGTCTCTATAAATGAATGAGAAATTGAAATTGCTATAAGAAGAAAGATAACCTGCATTAATTTCAGTACAAGCACCACAGCCGGAAAAAAAATGAACAAAAACATTAAAAGGCATAGACATGATGCATTTGAGAAAACCTTTATCCTCACAATTGTGCTGTTTGAGTTTAGACATGCTTCTGTGAAAGCCAACCATCAATTATATCTAATTGATTAAATGCACAAATGTATTTCTGAATATAGATGCAGCAATAACCTTCCAAAAAGCACAAGCAGGTATAAATTCTTCATATTTACCAAAGGGAGGCAGGCAAGATTAAACAAGCCTTGATAGGTAGCTAATAGTGAAGGCTTCATAAAGAAGCAAGAATTTCCATTTTGATTTAAAAGAAAAAATCTCTTAGTCTTATTTCTAGTTTATAGCCTGCAAATTACACAAAATTAGGATTTTCAAATATCAAAGGTGGTTTATGTACATTAAGTTCACAGAGACTTCCTACAAAACCTACAAATTAGTTATATAACTTATTATTTATTTTACCTATGTATTTTGTCTACATATCAGATCCACTATATCCAGCACACATTGCAACACCTGGAAGACAAGAGCAGCACTAACAAACTGTTTTAATTGACTCAATTCTGTATAGAGGTACATTTGCAGAAAATAAATAGACATAACAGCAGCAGATTTGTTGTAGCATGTCAAATATCTGTCAAGACAGCACGCCTATTAAATAACAAGATTATTATGTACGCAGCAGGTAGTCAAGGCAAAACCAATGCATTTTGGACACAACGCCTTTTTGTACAAAAGTCCTACCACACTCACGAGTGTCTATTATTTCTCATCATAATAATTGGTTTGTATTTTTGTTAATAATGATACATAGCTTAAAGTGCCATGAAATGCAGCCCAAGGCCTCACTTTCCCTAGCCTCCTTGATGAGTTTGGAAAGCTGAGTTCACATCTCAATCATCAGAAGGCACTTCACAACCCAACTAGACACAGGATCTAGACACACATCCCTGCTAGACAGGGGCACTAACTCTACAGTGCTCTGGACAGTTTCATGAGCAAATGTTGCTGTTCATTCAACTGTCTCACAAGCAACCAACAGACCACTTAGTAACAGTGTAGGTTATGTGAGTCTTCACATGTTCCAGCAACAAAGAACATTTAACAAAATAGATTAACATACAGGACTATGAAGGACACTTTCCACATGGGCGTTCATCTTCCTTAAGTACTCCAAGTGATTTTCACACCTAGGTTCATCAGTCACTGAATCTAGAGCTTAATATACCTAATTACATCACGCATCAGTTCTTAGAAGGTTGCAGTCTTAGGACAAAATCACAAGTCCTAATAAGCTGAATGCAGATGCAGCCTCAATTATCCCAAATCATGGCTGACAAAACCTGTGAGTTTCAGTCCATACTTCCTAGCAGAAATTCTGTGCCTAGCCTGACAGAAAATGCACAGGCTTGTGTGTCTCATTCTCTTTGGATAATAAAGCCCTACATTTAAAAAGTTTCCCAGAGAGGAAACAATGTACTTGGCTTTTCTTCATAGAGGACAGACTTTATCTCCCCATTCCTCCCTTCTGCTCCATTACAGTTGCTCTTTCGTAACGTGTCTTTTTTGTCTAAGCCTGTAAGTATACAGCATTAGGCTGCTGGTCCAGGGAGACTTCAACTCACTTTCACCTTTACCTCCACAGAAGCATACAAGCACACATATCCACTGAGTTCTTTTTTCATGATTCCCAACTCTCTCATTGGCAGAGTATCACACAGCTGCTAAAGAAAAGATAGGGGCCCATCAAATCTTTCTGTTATCCTCCTTGTTAAGTGAAAACGAACTAGACTCATCAGCATCACGCTTCCCATACAAAGCCACTTGTCAATGCACACAAATCCTCTTAAGTTTCACCAAAACGCAACCAATTTTCTTCAACTCTGCTCTAACTAAGGGTACAAACATAAAATCTAAATCTCTGAAGCTATAAAAGCTAACTATTTGTTTTAATCCTGCTATTTGATGCATAAATCTATGCTGCAGTTATACCATTAAGTCTCTCTTCCAGGCTCTCAAGAGAGTGTAAATGTCCCAAAACAACTGCATCAGCACTGAAAGTGGGAAATTGATACCACATCTATTTCTAAACCGTCCCACAACAAATTTACTACCATAAGATATTGAGATGAATCCTGAACAAAAATGTGCAATGGGACTGAGAAGATGACTTCCGTATTAAAAATCTACTTAATCTAGTACCAGTGTGAAAGGGGACGACTGCAAAGCAATTACACCACAGCAGACTAATAACTGAGGTCTTTTTTTTTTTTTTTGTTGGAAAAGGCAAACACTGGTTAAATGAAACACATTTGTTCATGCGTCGATTTTTCTAAATATTTTTTTTAAGTAAGATACTATTCTGATAAAGCTAAACAACTCCACAAAATGGGAACTTCATCTTGACTTTTCTTAACAACATTTTTAGCTATTTTATGACAAACGATATCTCATTTAGAAATTTATTTGAATCTTATTTTAAAAGTTCAAATGTATGCCATTTCAATTTAGTCTTTACTTTTTTGGAATTATGATCAAACCAAAAGTCAGTCATTTGCACAGCTTTATGCTATCCCTTAGCAACACAGATGGAGCAGGTGGGGAGTAGGTGGAGTGGATTATGAAAAAAGATGTCTCATTCTTTGCAGGAATG